CATCAACGTCTATGTCCAGTTCCAACCTCTCTGGGGAGCTGACCTCACAGAGCCCTCTTGTTAGATTCCTGTCCTAACAGAGGCAAGTTTACCCTCCTCTGCCTACTAAGGTTAGCAGTGAGACTTTGAGAAAAAATAATTTGGATCTGATTTTGCTTCAAACTGCATCCTGGGTCAAGAGTTAGCAACTTGAAATAATGAGAACAAATTTGATTTATCTCAAGTTATTTTTAAATTTAGTAGTCTTTGCAAGACAGTCATCATTTATGGGAAAACTTTTCCTTGTTTCTTCTATAAAGTATAATTTTTAAATACTTTTACATGGTTCTACAATCAAAAAAATATAGAAAGATGAATAATCTGAGAAGTCTCCCTCCCTTTCCTGATCTACTTATTCTGCTTCCACACATGCACAAAAATTGGTGATTATTTTATTTGTTTCATATATATTCTTCCAGAGTTATTTAAATAAAGCTTATATGTGTATATATTCTTATTTTTCTCTTTTTATTTTACTCAAAAGGTAACATACCATATGCTCTGTGTGCACTGTGTTTTTTCATGTAACCATTTAATGTGGAGATCTTTTCATTCAAAACACAGAGCACTCCATTGGTGGCCATGGGTCAGAAACGCCAGGAGTCCACCAGATGAGAGCAGTTTACCAGCACCAGTTATCAAGGATCACTGGGTGTCAGCAGTGAGAACAGGTGCCTAGTGTCCACACTGGCATGCCTTTTACTCCTCAGAAACTCTGCCTAGATCCCAGAAACGGCCGTACCTAGAGAACATTTTATATCCAACTTAATCAATTTCACATATAGCAAAGCAGGGTGCTGGAGCTTGCTGGTATTCTTCATTCTGGCCCCAAATTCTCCCCACTGTACCACATACATAAACTTTTAAGGACTTGTCACTATCTGCAGAGTTAATTTCAAATTCTTGTGCCTAGCACTTGCCCTAACTTAGAAGGCAGCAGGGTATGGTGTGGTGGGAAAGGTCAAGAGTACTAACTTAGAATCAGGAAATGTGGGTTCTAGTCCTGAGCCCTCTCTGGGCCCAGTTTCCTCATCTGTGAAGTAAGAGGCTTAAATCAGATACTCTCTAAGGTCTCTAAGGTCTTTGACTTCCACCTTCTAACCATACTAAAAAGTCTGGTCTTTGCAGTTGTGCCTGTGCTATTTCCACCTGGAATGTATCTTTTGTTTCTCTTCCTCCACATTTCCCAAGGCCCACCTTGACTTTTCCTGGTATTTACCTATTCAGAAAATGCTAAACACTCTCACCTCAGGACTTAGAACCTGCTGTTTCCTCAATCTAGATTACTCTCCCTCCCAAGAGCCATAGGAATTGGTCCTACTACTTAGTCCATTCAGTTAAGGGTCTGCTGAAATGAACCTTATAAAGACACTTTCCCTATCCATCTAATCTAACATACCACTTCTCCATCATTCTCCCCATTTTATTTCTCTTTACAGTTCTTATTATGCATAATAATTTATGTGCTGTCTGTCTCACCCTATTGGAATGCAGGCTCCATTAAAGCAGGGATGGTTTGTTTGTTTTTTTTTAACTTAGAACACCACCTGATACATAATAAGGAATGAGGAGAAACACAGCTCTGAAAAACAGACACTGAAAATAAACCTGACTTAGTAGAAAACTCGTAGCTAAAATCTTGCCACATATCCCACTCTGTAATGTGAACCGTTTTTGCCAGAGCTTCAAACAGGTCACTGACCATTATGAAACTGAATCTTCCAGCTAAAGAAAGAAACTTCAAACCTCTGTGAGCCTCCTGGCCACCTGAGGTCATCTAGGCTTCCACCCATTGTTTCCAGGCTGGTTTTTAATAAAAGCAAACCATCCAACCACCTAAGTTATATTTCTAAACTCCCCAAATTTATTGCCTTTGGTGGATAAGTAAACCAAGAACTACCTCCACTAATCAGCCAAAATTGATATTCAAACCACAACAATTTTTCCTAACCTGAATATTTATAGTATTTACTGATGGGCACGCACTTTAATGCTAGATCTTATGCCATTTCAGTATCATGCCAAATGTCTTCCTTATGTGGCAAAGATTATGTCACGTTTCTCACATATTCCTAAGAGAAATTAGCACAGGGCTTTCTTATCACAGAAAGATGTCAGAAATACTAAATTGATCTGAACTCAAAATGCAACTGTGGTGACTTATTTCATAAGTGCACAAGGAATTTAGGAACACAGTCAAACTAAGAACTCTCACTTCCTAAGTTTCAAAATTTAATTCATAACCTACCAAAACAGTACTGCTATTCACATCACCTATATTTTAATTTTGTTTGTAGGCAAAACTCCGTAAGGCATTCCATCCCTAACTCCTGAGAACTGATCCACCTCCATTTTGTACCCCATGATGTGCCAAATACACTTCGCCCATACAACCTATAACAGTATATTGCTTTTATGTTGACAGGTCTGCTCCCCAGGAAGACTGTATGGTCTTCAAAGGTAAGAATACCACTTAATTCATCACTGTTTATTACCTGAGCCTAACACAGTGAAACACACAATAGCACTTAATAACTATATGAGAATATTGAGAGAAAGAGGATATTACAGAGGAGAGAATGTTAAGAAAAAAAGCATGGAATTGCAAGATAGCCAGTGTGTCCATCTGTACCCCAAGAAATAAAAGAATCATATTAAGGCCGGGCATGGTGGCTCACGCCTGTAATCCTAGCACTTTGGGAGGCCGAGACGGGCGGATTGCTCAAGGTCAGGAGTTCGAAACCAGCCTGAGCGAGACCCCGTCTCTACCAAAAATAGAAATAAATTAATTGACCGACTAAAAATATATATACAAAAAATTAGCCAGGCATGGTGGCGCGTGCCTGTAGTCCCAGCTACTCGGGAGGCTGAGGCAGTAGGATCGCTGAGCCCCGGAGATTGAGGTTGCTGTGAGCCAGGCTGATGCCACGGCACTCACTCTAGCCTGGGCAACAAAGTGAGACTCTGTCTCAAAAAAAAAAGAATCATATTAATTAGTAGTTAGAGTGAGGATAAACATCAAAACACTGATGGGGTATAACTACAAAGCAATGAGTACAGCTTCCATAATTAATTATCATTCCAACTTGGAAATATTTAGATGAAATGACATTCTTCAGAAATATTCTTCTAAAACAAACCTTTATTAACCTTTGCCCAACACTTCCACTGGAAAAACAAAAAGACTACTCAAATTCCACTCCTCTGCTTAGAAATGAAGGAGAATCTAAATCTCATTCTAATATAGGTGGCAAGTAACTTTTTACACCATGAATAAACATTCTTAATTATACTGAAGCCCTCTAAGCTGAATGGGAGTTACTGAACTTCAAAATATGCATGAATTATCCTATAACTTCTATTTAAATTATCATCACTCGGGAATGAAGAAATGTCTCCTGTGGTCAATTTTTTTTTTCAAGTAACTACTACAGCTATTAGTCAAAGTTTCAATTAATGAAAATTCTATCTTTGCTAAGTCTACAGAATACCTAACTACATTCATTCTTCCAACTTTCTCAAGAACAGACTGGCCTCAAGATTTGGAACCATGTTTCCTGCCATGAGGCGGCTGGTTATTTTTCACCACATTCTTGCTCCAAAGCTGAAGTAATGAAGGGTGCTTCTGCCAGAGTCTGCTAGAAAGAGACAGAACACTAGAGAGAATCTGTGGCCTTTGGGGTTAGGTTTGGGTTTACATTTTTACTCTGCTACCCACCAACGGTATGACTTTAGACAAGACATTTAGTCTCTCTGAACCTCTACTTCCACATTAGTAAAATAGGAATAATTCAAATTTTCTAGAGCTGTTACGAAGACTACATTATATTACATATATATGTGACTAGCACATAACAGGGACTCAATAAACGTTAGTTTCTCATACCACTTTTCTTGTAGGCATAAAATACTTATTTAACACTCTTTATCAGAGCAATAGCTCTGTTTCCTGCTTTGGAGCCATTTTTAGGCCTGCTGGCTGTCAGGTCACAGTTCATTAAAACATTTACACACGTGATGGTCTGTACCAGTTCATTAAAAGAAAAGAGATCTTGATGGAATAAAAAAGAAAAGCTTCATAAGCTGTCAGCCTTCTGTCTTGGTTCGAGAACAATTTCTTAACAGTCTAAATGCATTCAAAAGCCTTTTCTTTATTTTAGCTCCCACAGACTTGTGGGAATCCTCACTGCCATTAGAGTGAATAACCAATACATTTATTATGAAGAAGTTACTAGCCAGGGAAATTAGAAGGCATCTTGATACAGAAATCCTTGGCAGAATTCTAGGAAAAATTTAGTTTGCAAAATTGTAAATTCTAACAATTATGAAATCCATTTTTCTCCTGTGAATATGGGCTTGTTTTAGAGAGAAATTCTTCTCTGGATTTATTTAGCTACTCTAGTCCAGATTTACTTAGCTAAACATTTATAGAAAATTGGTAAACTATTATAATAGTTGCTATTTATGGTTAAGTCACCACACAGTGCTAAATATCTCCTGAGGAGAAAAACCAGTATAGGAGTTAAACCAGATGACAAATGTACACTAGAACAGAGAACTTCTGGTAATGCCTAGCATTTTCTTTAGGGTTTGGTGAATTTTACTATTTCAGGATTTTGTGTTTCTCAAGGATAGTTTGCTACTATTTCTATTTTATAATTGAGTAGAAATGTAAAAATTCCCTTCCTCTATCCTCCTGGTTCGTAAGAAAAGGACACTAGTTGGCAAGCACTATTTTTATATTGACAGCCAGAGCTATTTTGAGCCTGTTTAGTACTATCCAATGTTTATGCCAAGAAAAGAGGTTAGCATGACATTAGCAAGCTAAAGAGTAAATTCTCAGTTTCTGGTGATTTAATAAGCACATTACCTTTTGAATAACCCAAAAGTCTACCTTTTGGTCATAAATAATAATGTAATTCATCAACATAAGCCATTAAACCATAATTAGAAAGTCTTACCTTTTGTGCATCTCCTGTGAAATAGGCAATGGCCAGGGTGGGCAGAATCATGAACAGTGCATTATAATAGAGCAGACCATATTTTCCCAGCTCCTAGAATAGTAAATAATTATGTGTTTCATTTAGTTTCAGCAAATAGATATATACAACCCTGTACAGAGTACTACCTGAATTATACATACATACACAAACACACCCCCCCTTCAACATACACAGTAAATTAGCTAAGTCAGAAGTTCTGTAAACATGAAGAAGAAGCCTAAACTTTCAAAAGACCAAAAATAAAGGCAAGTTTATAAGATTTTTAAACTTATTTTAAATAAATTCCTCAAATGCTTAAGATCAGAGAAATAACAATGACATCAACTGGCTGCCTCAAAACAGCAAAGAGGGAAGAAGTTCTTCTGAACACACACATCCCTGAAGCCTTTCTCTTTTCATAATTGAATCAAGAGTCATCCAGCTAGTCTGGGCTTTTTAAAAGCAAAACACGGTATCACTAAAGAGAGATGGATGGTCAGATCCAGATACACAGACTCAGACCTAGACCAAAACAGCACATCTCAGTGAAGTATTTCTGAAAATATGTATGTGAAGCACAATGAAGATTAAGATTACTTATAACTACAACTACCAAAACACAATAGGACTAGTTATGGCATTAGCTGCTAGGGAGCAATAACACATCTTCAAACACAGGGAGCCTGTAAGAATTTTTGGGTCCACCTTTAATTCACACACTTCTGGGACATTCAGAAGGAGGTAGAGTCATCTAAAAAAATAGGCCAGGTTTTAAGGGAGGGGGATGGTAGAGTGGTAAGTATCACTGAATGATGTGAAAAGTGAAACTATCTTCTCAAAAGCAGCTTTGAAAACTGGAAACAAATATTCAGCAACAGAAAACTAGCTGAGTATAATACAGCTGTACAATACAACTTTGCACTGCCACTATTAATAAAAATGTTTAATGATGCTGATTGACATGGAAAGGTGTTTATAAAACAGAACTATGTGAAAAATGTAAATCAGAAATTATTATATATCATTCCTCTTTTGTTTAAGTGGTTTGTTTGTTTGTTTTCCCAAAGAGACGGGGTCTGGCTTTGCTGCCCAGGCTGGAGCACAGTGGTGCGATCATAGCTCTCTGTAACCTCGAATTCCTGGGCTCAAGTGATCCTTCCTTCTTAGGCTCCCTAGTAGTAGCTACTCAGGGGCATACCATCAAGCCTAGCCAATTGTTTAAAAAAATGTTTGTAGAGGTGGAGTCTCACTATGTTGCCCAGGCTGATCTCAACCTCCAGGCCTCAAGCAATCCTCCCACCTCAGCCTCCCAAAATGCGGGGATTACAGACACGAGCCACTGCACCCAGTCTAAAATTTTTACATAAAGATAAGTGTGTATGTACACACGTATAATAAAGGATATCTGGAAGAATTAAGGGAGATTTATATTTTCTTCCTCTTGCTTATCTATGTTTTCTACTACTTCTATCATAAACATGTATTATTTTATGTGTTTAACAATGTTTTAAATTCAATAGCTGCATTCAGGTTTAAAATGCAGCACAAAGTCTTTATGCCATATGATTCATGCTAAAAGGACCATGATTCTAAGCAATCCTAAAATTATAGGTAATAAAACTCCTGACTTATTAAAAGCATCTCTGATACACCAAATACCTGCTTGCTTATGGTCACCACAAACATCAATGACAAGGCGTGCCTCGTTTGTAAGGCAGAAGAAAAAAACCATCCTAGGACAACCTTTAAAAATGGGTGGGGCCAGTCAGCCAGACATGAGTGGTATTCAGGAAGTAGAGGATGTGCATGCAAACGCACACATAGACACATATCCATCAGAACACTGATAAACAACAAAAAACCTAAGTGCAAACTGTTCTATTTTTCTTTTCACATTTTAACTGTTCTTAATATCTTTCTCCCTGCCTTCTTAAACAGAGTATGCTAAAATTTGACTTAGAGGACCATTATAAACAAGCATTGTCTTATGATGCACCATTATGCATCATAAACATGCATTATGTTTATGTATTATGCTCTTATACAATGTTGCCCTTATCGCTGTTTAATAGCCCCTGCATCATTTCTTTTCCAGTAATTATCTTTTATAGTTTTCCTGTTGTTTCTCTTGTTGTTAGCTGACCTTTTATACTGCAGGTAAGCCTCTCTGCCTCTAAATAGAATTAGACCTTCTAGTCTGTTGCCTCTAATCTGTGAACTAGGAAAAGCAGATCGATGAGCTCAAAAGTTCTAAAATAAATAAGTCATAAGTCATCTCTGAGTAAGGAACTAAAGGGCTCTCCTAGGAATAAAATACTCAGAAACCCTCTTTATTTTTCTTTTAGGTTCTAGGATGTACTCTGGATTGTGCTGTCCAATATGGTAGTCACTAGCCCCACATGTAGCTATTTAAATTTAATTATAATTACATAAAACTACCAATTCAGTCCCTCAGTTGTACCAGTCATTTTTCAAGTGCTCAATAGCCACACATGGCTAGTGACTATTGTTAAAAGACAACAGAGATACAGAAGATTTCTATCATAGAAAATTTTATTGAACACTGCTGTTTTAGACAGCTGAAGCTGCTACACAAAATGTTATTAATAGCACCTATTTTCCAAAGCAGCAAATAGGCTGAAGGAAAAAAAACAGAGTATGACCAAATTTCTAACCGCTACTTTTTTCCTAGCTACTTTTAAAAATTATAAATTTTCACTCGCAGCTTCCATTAAAATGCAACCAATATACAGATTCATCAAGGCAAATAAATGGAGGACATGACATAAAAGGTATATTTAAAGGAACCATGCTAAAAACAATCTACACTGTCTGTAGTTTGTCAATGATATCCCCCCCAAAAATTCTCTGAAAATAATGAAACCTCCTGGGGTGGACATACAATCCATACTTCTTTTCAGGAGGAGCAAAGCACCTGGTCAAGACAACACCAGGTCAAAATATTACTACTTTCAAGTAGGTAGGGCATTTGTATTTATTTGTTATCTGAGCTCCCAAAAAAGGACATGAAGCAGTTTCAGAAATACTCTACATATAATAGAAGAAGATTAAAAACTAAGCAGATAAGGTCATTTGACTGAAAAGAATATACAGGTAGGAAAATAAGATAAAAGTTATGGTCAGTCACAAGATTTAATTATGAGATAAAAATATACCAGCTGCTCAGGAAAAGCTATGAAGACATCTAAGATAAGTATCTCACATTGGTCCTCATATAGGATACATTATGATATCAAGGATAATTCCTTCAGTAACAACCCTAGGATATATAAAGTTGAGTTGCATTTAACTGTTTCTTACAGTAATGTAGCAAACGCAATGTGATTCAAATACTCCGTTTTCTGATGTTTTGGCTTGATCTAAAATAAAATTTAATGTGTCTATTTCCAAATAGTACACAAAAAATATCTTGTAAAGCCTTTGTGTGTTTGCTTCCAGTAAAGGGCAAACAGCCAGGTATACAAAGTTCACATGTATGAGATTTAAGCCAGAGAACTCAGTGTTGCCCCTGAAAGACAGATCCCAATGCTCCCTAAAGTTTCCCATTATTTAGGGCAAATAAACAAAGCCCACCTTTGCTTTGCAGCCCCTTCCAACCTTCCAACACTCACTTCTCTTCAAGCCTACCCAAAGATTTCCAGATATTTTTCTTTCTCATCCCAAGTCCCTCATCAAGTCCTCTAGAACAGCGGTCCCCAACCCTTTTGGCACCAGAGACCGGTTTCACGAAGACAATTTTTCCACTGATGGAAGAGGTCGGGGGGATAGGGTCAGGCAGTGATGCGTAGCCCAGTTCCTAACAGGCCAAAGACCAGTACCAGGCCTCAGCCCGGGATTTAGGGACCACAGCTCTAGAAAACAGCCATAAACACAACACTTTCCTCTCATGAACACCCCTTTCTTTCCCTACCATATTCTGTGTCAATATTCACACAATCTCCTGCATAAAAGCCAGCAATAAAATCTAACTGCTAATCAATTAATTAAAAAATAAAGTTTCTTATGAAAGCAACAAAATATAGGCATTTTACCCTCTAATAGTCCCCATGTTTTTCCCATCCCTCCTAAGTTTTTTCTTTATTCCCCATTTTTTCACTGATAAATTGACATTGCTATTCTCAACATCAGTATATATCTGTTAAAGAAGCTTTAAATTGCTACCTACTTTTGAATCTAATTTTTGTTTTACGTATGCACCATTTGCTGCCGTCAGGACATCATTTATCAGAATAAAAACATATCCTTCCAGATCAAATGCCAAGTCAGAGCTGCAAAAAATACGCAATACTTTTTAAGAACAACTTACATTTAAAGAACATGCATTTAATTTTAAAAAGGTCTGAACTACAATATTTACAAGAACATATTCTTATTTAGGTAAGTGAACATTAGGCATTTTATCAGCTACTAGCAATTTTTGATGCCTGGTCACAATCTGCAATTTCATATTCAATAAGAGATTCTTCAGAAATGAGAAGCACTAACACTTAAACACATCATTAGCAATAATCGATCGTGTCAGTTAATAGCACAGTGCTCTGAATTCTAAGTCAGATAACAAGCAACCAAATGCACCATTACTGTACATCTCTGAAGCTGGCAGAAGGCATCAGAGCTCAATTTCACAGGAAAGGAAACCAAAAAGATGAAGCTGTCAACATATCATTTTCCAAAGGTTCACACAAAAGGTAGGACTATCCTGCACAGGTAGTTGAGCCCAGTGGAATTTAAGTGTGGATCATGGTTAGTTCTAAGATCAAGCTAGAATAGTGTCTAACCACATATTAATAGTCGTAACTCAAATACTTAAATAATTGCTCAATGGAGCTATGAGGTATAACTATGGGAATTAGGGAAACTGAAAATTTCTGGTACTTAATAGAGTACCAGGCACAAGATAAGAACTTACAAAATTAATAAATGAAAATCTGAGTATAGCATGCCTTCAGCATACTTCAGCAACCTAGCTAAAATAGTGGCCCCATATTCTATGATTTTGCAAAGATACTATATACTTGTAGCTGAACTACTAAATGGAACCAAGACTTCTGAGGAGCTCTTTGCCTCTGCAATTTTAGGCAAGACTAGCTTAAGGCCCACCCACTACCCCAAATAGTCTAACAACCCTTTGATTAACTTCAGATTCCTTTCGTACTAATCTCTTTTCCAAGTCAAAGTTTCTAATTAGGCAAGACTGGTCCAGATAGCAATCCTTGTCAGAAGATTCTTGCAGATCAGAGTAAGCCTCGAGAAACCCCTGTCATATTGGTACTATTTTGGACCTCATCAGCTTCAAAGAAATGCTTCAAAGACTAGCAAGGCACCTCTAAAAAGAAAGGCTGGAGGCTAGTATAGAATTTTTCTCCAAGGAGGCAATATGACCCAGAGAGAAAAGTAGTGAGCTATATAACCAATTTCTAGTAACCAATCATGCCACCCTCTTTTTCAGATTAAATTTCACTTAGAGATTGATGGTAAAATAGAATTTGACTTATAATACTTTCCCCCACCTATACCACAGGGATATGATGAAGGCAAATGAGCCAATCTAAGAACCACACTGTAACTCCCCAATGGAAAATGTATGTCAGACAGAATTTGTGGCATTAGCAAATCCATATATACATGCCCTAGACTGAGTAAAATGTTATAGAAGGCTTCTAAGAATCATTTTAATTTTCTGAATCTCTGGGTGTACATTTTCCCCAAGTGTTCTAAAACTAAAACTTAAGTGAAAAAAGTTTTAATAATCTAACAGAATATCTAAGTTATGACATTTGTGATACATCTTATGTGAGGCCAATTAAAGCAATGCTATTATTCATTATTCCAAAGGCAAACGACTCATTGTCATCTTCCTCACCTCACAGAAGACACTCTTTTCTTTAGCAGCATGCAAAATAAAAGAATGCCATATGGTTTTAACAAATCACATAGGCTCTGAAGTCAGGCACAGATTCAAATTCCAGCTTTGCCATTTACTAGCTATGTGACTTTGAGCAAGTTTCTGAACTTAAGTTTTAGTTTCCTCAACTATAAAATAGGAAAAGTATACTCATGCCTCTCAGAGTTGTTGTGAAGAATACATAACGTGTAAAATGCTAAACATATTGTGTGGCACGTGGTATGTGCTCAGTAAGTAGAAGACAGTAACAAATCCTAAATTATATGAACTTAACTTTTAAGAACTTCAAGAATCATAATTTTTGCCAGCCTTGACCTTAACACAGCCCCCCAAAATTCAACCTTTTGAACAGTCTTTTGGTTGCTTTTCAAAGATATGATTCTTTTTAGGCCATAAAGACTTGTTATTGATAACTGATTGTTTATTATCAGTAATTATTGAGAATTTCTAATGTGCTATACATAGGTCTACGTAACTGATTATTTATTATCAGTAATTATTGACAATTTCTAATGTGCCAAACATAGGTCTACATCTTACCTGGCAGCTACAAAGGCTCCAATAATCATTGCAAATACAGTCATTTTAATACCCCAAGAAAAAGTCTTCCTACAAAATAAAATAATTTAAAAATATACATGTAACTTTAGTTATTCACATAGACTCATTTTATAACACAGGCAAAAAAATGTGACTTTTTTCCTCAAAAAAACCTATAAACAATCATATTTTAAATGTTTCTGAGAAACTGGATATTTAAAAGAACCCTTTTGATGAAGCCAAAGCTCATTTGTTATGTAAATAATTATACTCAGTTTTTTCTTATCATTTGTTATTAATAGCGAGTTTGAATTTCTGTAAGTCAGAATTTCTTTAAATAGAGGAAGGTCACATACAAAAAGAGCTAAGACACGAACACTACTTAAAACGTTTAATACCTATGATTCTGAGCCAGCCTTTCCCATTGGCAGCAGTAGGCACAGAAATTCTAGAAAGTAAATCTCATGTTCAGACAGGTTTCCAACTTCAATTCCCAACCTTCCTAACTATCGCTCCCGAAAACTATCAGTTTCAATAGCCAAGGGAAAAGGGTGCTTAAACGTCTCAAAAGTTGCAGTAGAAACAGGACAATTTTAATATCTCACATGTGCTGGGCACCTTTTCAATGTGATTAAAGTTGTTTAAAGAACAGATAAATCAGAAATTCAGCTCACTTGAGTAAAACTCCTTCAGCAAACATTGTAAACAGGATGGAGAACCTTCTTAGAACTGTAAACATTGGCAAGCTGCAAAAAAAAAAAAAAGATAATTAGGTAAGATAAAATTTAATTATTTTTTTTAAACAAGATTTTCCATATTGGTAGTTTAAAATTACAATCATCTATTTCTTTCATTATGGAAATTCAATGCTAATTAATCTGTGATTAAACTCTTACTTCTCTCTAGGAATTATTCTTATTTGAAGGCCTAAAAGTTGCTTTTAAAATACAAGTGAAAAACATTAAATTAACTATTAAACTTTTTTATTTTACTCTACTAATTATGCAAATACCCTAAACTGTAACCATGTTAGTCTTTAATAGAAAAAGTCTTCTTTTTCATTTCTTCACTGGTCTGACTTCCCTTCTGATCCCCTAGACCACCCAAAAAACATCTATGAAAATCTTACCCCATGAAATTCCTTGATTGTCCTTTTGTAGATGTAATTTTTGTCTTCCTCTAAATTCCCAGAGCATTTTGCTTGCACTAATCAAACACACAGCCACTTGCAATATAGTTATTTTTGAATATATCTTATCTCACTCCAAAGCGCCTTATACTTAGCTGGCAATCAAAGATAGGATGGATGGCATGAATGGATGGATGACAATGGATGAAAAAAGCAAACTCTATACAAGCAGCACTTTATAGCAGCAGGTCTGCAATTCTTTCCAGGTGGGTAATGAGATGGAAAAGGATGCCCCACCCATGATGAATCTGACTTGGAACTCTCCCCAGAGAGATCATATTGGTCATTCTGTCAGGTTTCTTGGGTTTGAAAAACGGAAAAAAATGAAATATACTTTGTCTCTGAAACTCAGACATCTCCCCATTCTGTTTTACAATCATCCAATATGCCAGTGATTTAGCTCATGTGGATGTACTAAAGCCATGGGTTTCTCTTAAATAGCTTCCCTGTGTCTGTGTGGTTTTTTTAAAGACAAGGTCTGCTCTGTCACCCAGGCTAGAGTGCAGTGGTGTCATCACAGCTCACTGTAACTTCAAACTCCTGGGCTTGAGCAATCCTCCCATCTCAGACTCCTGTGTAACTAGGACTATATAAGCACATGCCACTACACCCAACTAATTTTTAGAAAAAAAATTTTGTAGAGACAGGGTATCACTATGTTGCCCAGTCTAGTCTCAAACTCATGGCCTCACGCAATTCCCCCACCTGGGCCTCCCAAAGTGCTAGGATTACAGGTGTGAGCCACCATACCCAGTCTGTACATCATTTTAACATCACACCCCTAATACATACTATACTGCTTCAGTGGAAAGCCAGGATTGGAAGGCTAGAGGGTAATAAGACAGTGTAGACATGGAGTAGAGAGCTACTGCTTCTTTCTAAAAGTGAATATATTACCTCTATGGTTATACTACCATGGTAAGATTATTATTAATATTTGTATCAGGATTCTATCTGATGTTACTTTAACTACTTATTGTTAAAATAAAAACTGCACAAGTTCTCCTGCCTACCCTTTGATTTTGCTATATGGAATTTGCCTAAAATATAATATTTATGAACTGTATTAAAGAACTGAAATCCTAGAAGCTTAACATGCATCCCTCATTATCACAGGTCTGGAAAAATAATGAAAATCTCATATCACAGCATTTTATAAGACTTTTAACATCAAAGTGAGGGAGAAAAATACAAACATACAAAAAACTCCTTTTTCTCTTCAAAGGAAAAGAGCTTAAACTAAAAACTTTTGGTGCAACCTTTATTATTTAGTAATAGAAACTTTGTGGTCCTTTCATTTTTCTCCACAATCAATAAAAAAGTGTAAATATTTGACATTTAAGTACAATTTTAAGAATACATTATATTAACCTCACTAGTAAAATAAAGTCATCCATACTTCAGTTTCTTTGTGCTGAACAGTCCCGTGATTTGGTTCCCAAAATATAGTAGAGGTAGTGGAAACGTCTAGAAAATTTAAAAAGGGATAACAATACTCAATAATAAAGATAGCTAAAACAAGGTCCTTTCAAACAGTAACAGTTTTGTTTATATGATCAAATTCTTTCCACTTAAAACATAAGATTAGTTCTCTTACACAATCTGACCCCCATGAAACACCCAAACACCATTAATCTTGGATAAACGGCATTACTATGTCAGAAAGAAAGTGAGGAAGGAAAGAAAAATAGAAATATGAATATGATCAATGTGGAATAGTAACATCATTTGCTTTAAGATATGAAATGTATTAGCCCAGGGCTCTAATGTCAGCAGAAAAAGGAAAGGCATTTCATCTTCATGCAGAATCAAGCAAAAGCAGAAAGAAGAATATGAAATAAACCCCAGAAAAAAGAATGCAGGATACACTGGCTAGATCTGATGGATACATAAACTGTAAAACTGTTATACTCCCAATAAGTGTGTGTATTAATTAAAATAGAAAATTCCTAGGTTGTTCTTTATCCTTAATTGTAAAGAGATTGTAGGGCTTCTTTAGCACATTACTACATTTATTCTTTACCTTCATTATACCCACTCTGGATTGGGTACTGCAATTTTTAAATATGCAAGGCACTAATAAAATATATAGTAACTTCATTTCTTTTACCTTTCGAGGTACATTTCTGTCAAAGTCAGGAAACTTGACTACTCTGAGTGCCTTTCCCACCCAGAGAACTGCCACTGTGGCCACCATCTGTAAACAGAGAACACAGATTCACTGTTCTGCGAATAAAGACACACACAGAAGTTCTAACAACATAAACCACGTAATGCTGAGGATTCCAACTAACCTGGCCAAGTCCAACACATAGTGAGGAGGGAAATCTACAAAAAGGGCAAAGAAAAACAAAAAAAAAGGTCAGAAAAACCTAAATGTAGCTCCGCTGAATTCAATTTGTACCTGGACAACCTTTTTAAATGTATTTTAATACAAGTCACACCAACATCTGCCCCTGATCCAAGTAAAAATCTTGAGAGAAAAATCCCTGCCGGCCGTGAGGCCACACTGCTGATTTTGTAGCCTCTGGCGGCCACTTGCCTCATCTTGTCCCATTCTACAATTTCAAACGGCTGCCTGCACGGGATTTTGCAAGGAAGTTAAGATAGATCTCTACAACGGTTTCACGCCTTTAAAAACAACAACTTCTGCCTCAGAGTCCCAGCGACAGCAAGGGAATAATCGTAAATGGGCGTGAGGGTGCGCATGTCCCCAGAGGCTGTCAGCGGGTGCGGGGGACACTGAAGCCCCGGACCCCGGTCCAGGCTGCGGAGAACGGTGGGCATCTCTCGCCCTCCTCCCTGCCTGGCATGCACAGGGGCTCAAAAGTCACCAAGCAACTTTGCTCCATCGCTCCACACGCTCTGAAAGGCAGGGTTTTCAGGGCGCTGCCGCGAACGCGCCGCCGGGCCGGCCAGAGCCCCGCGCGGGCAGCGGACCCCAGCCCCAGGCCGGCGCGCCCAGCCTGCTCCGCCGCCCGGGCCGCGCGCGTCAGCCTCCCGCCCTCCCCGGCGCCCGCCCAACTTTGTTCAGTCTCAACTTCGCCAGCCAAAGTCCGGGGAGCCGGCGCCCCGCCGCCGCCGCCCGCTCCTCCTCCGAGGCCTGGGCCGCCGCCGCCTCGGCCCTACCTGTAATTGGTGAGCACGCTCTTGTTCACCACCACGATCAGGAAGGAGCTCACGCCGTAAAAGCCGGCCGCCAGCAGCTTCAGGAACACGGTCAGCGTTTCGGCCGACGCCATGCCCAGCTCCTCCTCATCTCTGTGTGTGGAGGATTTCGCGGGGGCTTCTCCTTTAACCCGAGCATGCTGACGTCTATGAACTTCCGCCATGGCTGCGGCGGCGGCGCGGGCCTGTGCGCGGAGCGGCGGGCGGGCCTGGCTGCGGGGCCCAGCGGCGCGGGGGCCTGCCGGCGCTGCGGCGGCTCCCAGGGGACTCGCGGGAGCCGGCTCTGCGGACTGGGCCGGCTGCGCGCTCGCAGGCTCGGCTCCCCGCAGAGCCGCCGCCCGTCCCCTCCCAGGGGCAGGGACGCCGGGGTTCCCACCCTTGGAGACTTTGCTCGGGCATTGTGCAACGCTGGGTCAGAGGGCAGGGGCCGCGCCGGGCTTGGCCCAGGCAGGGCTTGGTGAGGGCCTGGAGAAGGGGCAGCGGCGACCCTGAGCCCCGGGCCATGAGGGGGAAGCGGGGAACCATACGGGGACACCGGAACGCCGGGCGGCAGACCACAGACGCCAAGCGTCGGGGTGGGCTTGCGCCTGCGCACGAGCACGCGCTGGGTCTCTCCGCTGTGTTCGTACCTGGGGCGGGGGAGACTGGTGGAGGGGTTGGGGGCTGGACGGCCGTATTCTCCAGATAACTCCCGCCACAAAAGTGCAGACCCTCCTCCCCTGTATAACAGATGGCCGGCTGAGTAGTTACGGTATGTTGCATCTAGACTCATTTTGGTCTCTCTTGCACAAGGTCATACAAAGCCCTTCAAAAGTATTAGATGTGGGTCAGCAATAATAAACATGCAACAAGCATTTCATTCTACATGCCTCACACTTCTTACACTTTCTGAACACAGAAAACAACACTTTCTTTGCAGATCATGGAGGAAGTTTTTAAGAAAAATGTTGTCATAGCCAAAAAAAAGTAGCAAGATAATTAAGCACTTTGAAGTTTGGTGAAGTGCAAGGTGTTTGGAGCATAAAAGACTTCACGTCCAATTCTAGGATTCCTAGAAATGCGCTACCTCCTTAACACTCTACCAGCTTAACCACCACCACTATCCCCCCAAGCTGTGTGCTCTTGGACTAATTAGATGACTTCTCTCTGAACCTGGATCTCCTCATCTCTGTGGATGTAAAGCTAGCATAGAGCTAGTTTTCAGTAAATGGTAGTCATTATTATATAACAGAAGCAAATCATTATCAGTTAAAGCAAAGAAATTATATACCTAATAGATTAGGAAAGAAGAACTTTGACTTATTTCTCTAAATGCTTGGTCTACATCATTTTTTATTTCCTTTTTTCTTATTTTTAAATTGTGGTAAACATATATATAACAAAATCATTTTAACCCCCACCTCCTTTTTTTTTTTTTTTTTTTGAGACAGGGTCTTGCTCTGTTGCTCAGGCTGGAGTGCAGTGGCATGATGGTAACTCATTGTAACCTCAAACTCCTGGGCTCAAGTGATCCTCCCAGCTCAGCCTACCAAGTAGCAGGGACTATAGGTGCACACCACCATACTTTGCTAAGTTTTTTATTTTTTTGTAGAGACAGGTATCGCTGTGTTGCCCAGGCTGGTCTTAAACTCCTGGCCTCAGTGATCCTCTGCCTCAGCCTCCCAAAGTTTGGGATTACAGGTGTGAGCCACTATGCCCAGTCCATTTTAACCCTTTGAGTGTACAATTCAGTGGCATTAAGTACATTCACATGTTGTGCAACCATCACCACTAATCCATCTTTAAATCTTTTTCAACATCCCAAACGGAAACTCTTTACTCATTAAACAATCACTTCCTGTTCCCCCTTCCCCCCACCTCCCCCACCAGTGTTCTACTTTTCGTCTCTGTGAATTTGACTATTTGAGGTACCTCATATAAGTGGGATCGTATAGTATTTGTCCTTTTGTGCCTGGCTTATTTCACTTAGTATAATGTTTTCAAGGTTCATCCACATTGTAGCATGTGTCAGAATTTCCTTCCTTTTTTAATGTTAAATTACGTTCCATTGTATGTGTTTAATTGATCTATATCTTTTTAACTACTCTGGGAACACCTCTGTTCTTGGTATGTTCCTTAGGAAAAGCTCTCACACAGGATGAAATTCTTAACGTGGCCTACAAAGTCTTAGGTGATGTGGCTCCTGCCCACATGTCCAGAGCCACTATTCACATTTACTTCCCTAAGCAGCAGATAAATCAACAACGTGGGTTCATGCTTCTGCATCTTTACTCTCATATTTCTTCCATCCAGATGCTTTTTCCCTCCTTCTCCTTACCCATCTCCTGAAGAGCTCTTACTTTTCCTTTAGTATTTAGGCAAAACATTGCCTCCTGTCTGGTCAGCCTGCCTTCACACTGCCCCTCCCTTCCCTCCACAGAATTGACATCTCCCCTTTGTGCCTCTGCCACGCCATCTTTGAATACCCCCTTTATAGGGTGTCTTGGTCTGTCCATGCTGCTATAACCAAATACCAGAGACTGAGCAATTTACAAAGAACAGAAATGTATTTTTTCACAGTTCTGGAGGCTGAGTGCAAGATCAAGGTGCTGGCAGATTGGTTGTCTGGTGAGGGCTGATCTCTCTGCTTCCAAGATGGTGCCTTTACCACTGCGTCCTCTGAAGGGGAAGAACACTATGTCCTCACATGGCAGAAGAGACAGAGGTCAATAAAGGACAAACACTGAGTGAAGCCTCTTTTGTAAAGCATTAATCTTGTTCAGAGGGCAGAGCCCTCGTGACTTAATCACCTAAAGGCTCCTCCTCTTAATAATATCACATTGGTGATTAAGTTTCAATGTATGAATTTTGGGGGACACACTCAGACCAGAGCATAGTGGCTCTGGATTACATGTTTACATATCATTCTCTTCTGCTGGACAGTGAGCTGCTTGATAACAGAAACAGGCAGAGATGCCTAGCGCAGTTTAGATGTTTCTGTTGAATGAATCAATAAATGGTGAAACTAGTAACAAGGAAAATGACCAAATATCTTCCTTGACTGCTAGGAGCAGAAGAAAAATAGCAACAAACATCCCCGTGGAAAAAATATTATTATAAAACTAACAATGCCCCTCATAACAAAAACAAATATATGTACACATACATACATACATATTTTTATTCATTTTTAAACATATACAGAATAGAACCAGGAAAGAACATTGATCTTCAAGCCAGACAATGCCTCTGACACTTACTAATTTTGTGACCTTGACAAAATTACTGGGCATAACTGTGCTTCAGTTTCCCCATCTGTAAAATGGGGTTAACAATAGCACCTACTGCATAGGGTTGTGGTGAGAATTAAATTATGAATTAGATTTATAATAAATATAAAGTGGTTAGAACATAGTAAATACTTTACAAGTGTTCATTATAATTATCATTATAATCATGATTATCATTATTATTATTATTTTATACAACATTTATCACTTCACTTACCATTCCCTGAAGGTCTTTCTGTGGCAGCATGTAAACTCTACCTCATTCTTTTCTAAGGCTGAAGAGTATTCTGTGAGTTAGATGCATCATAATTCATGTCACCTTTCTTATGGACATTTAGGTTATCAGTTTTTCAGTTTATGAAAACAATCTTTGTTCATTCAACTTAGTACAGGTATAAGTTTCTAGAAGTATAATCGTTTAGTTAAAGGCTACTTTTTAAAAAAATTAGTAGAATTAGCAAATTTATCTCCCAAGAGGTTGTACCAATTGTATATTCCCACTAACACTGTATAAAAATGAAACCCTTTTTTATAAAGCCAGAGGGCAACAGTGGGGAACACTGAAAGAGATCAAGTTCTACCCTATGGAGGTATGAAATGCCAGATACACGTTGATGCAATAAATCAATTGCAATTACACAAAATGGAAAATAAATCTAAGAGTACTGATCCAGGCAACTGCTGTTGTTTTTCTCAGCAGGACTATGTTATTCATTAACAAATATTGAAGACCTACCATAGGCCACAAACTGTGTTGGATTTTCTCTCAACACCAGTAATGATTTGGATGCTGTGGACCTTTAGTAAAATGCTATGGAGTTAAGTGGGGCATGGTGGCTCACGCCTGTAATCCTGGCACTCTGGGAGGCCGAGGCGGGAAGATCCCTTGAGCTCAGGGGTTTAAGACCAGTCTGAGCAAGAGCTAGACCCCGTCTCTACTAAAAATAGAAAGAAATTACCCGGACAACTAAAAATATATAGAAAAAATTAGCTGGGCATGGTGGTGCATGCCTATAGTCCCAGCTACACGCAAGGCTGAGGAAGAAGGATTGCTTGAGCCCAGTAGTTTGAGGGTGCTGTGAGCTAGGCTGACACCACAGCATTCTACCCAGCACAACAGAGACACTGTCTCAAAAAAAAAAAAAAAAAAAAAAAGTGCTATGGAGGTTAATGGCATCAAGCATTCTCTTTAGGTGACCAGACGATGAGATAGATGGTCATATCATAGTAGGATTTTCTCTTTCTCATAGTATAAGTACTTAGACTGTGGGGTAATGTTTGTTACGTTAGGTACTCAGTTATGTTTCCTAACCTCAGTAATATTAGTCACAGAATTACATGTGGGAGATTTATACATTGTTTGATAAAATTGAATAAATATTGAAACCTATCTAAAAAAGTTGCTCAAGATTGGAAAGACTGCATTAAGTATTCTCATTGAGGTACAAGTCTACTCTATTTGGAAAAATCAACTTTGTGGATTGATAAATTTTATATCTTGCTGGGTAGATAGAATTACTAGTAGAAAAAAAATCTTTGTAATTAAATCACATCTTTTTATCAATACATTGCCTTTAGTCATCATGTTTTTCTATGAGGGAAAATTGATTCTGTACACTATTTTTTAACATAACTCATATTATTTCTTTTCTCTATACTTCCCCCTTTCCCTTGGCTCCCTTGCTGTTCTTTTTTTTTTTTTGAGACAGAGTCTTGCTTTGTTGCCCAGCCTAGAGTAAGTTTTGTGGCATCAGCCTAGCTCACAGCCCCTCAAACTCCTGGGCTCAAGCAATCCTCCTGCCTCAGCCTCCCGAGTAGCTGGAGCTACAGGCATGTGCCACCATGCCCGGCTAATTTTTTCTATATATATTAGTTGGCCAATTAATTTCTTTCTATTTATAGTAGAGACAGGGTCTCGCTCTTGCTCAGGCTGGTTTCGAACTCCTGACCTCAAGCAATCCACCCGCCTCGGCCTCCCAGAGAGCTAGGATTACAGGTGTGAGCCACCGCACCCAGCCACCTTACTGTTCTTACACATGAATTTATATAGGCC